CATTGTGTTGATCTGTGTCGGTCTGGATGAAGCAGTTAATGGTAGAGGACTTCAGGGACCATCAACATATCGACTCCGTATACATTAATTCTTTCTCAGGTTATAATCTGACGAACGACTACACAACCGTACGTACTGAAGGTGGGCAAATAAACGTGGAAGAGCTATATTAGTCTTCAAATTTTCCCGGAGGAATAAACATTTCCATTTTCCAAACATGAATCTTTTTCTGTGAGTATAACCTTCCAAACCACCATACCAACGAAAGAACTCACATGTAAGAAAGAGTGAATCACATAATACAAGTGTTTAGTTAGAAAGTATTCACTGTGAAACTCTTCTAACACATTAACCCTCAACACACCTAAATGTTTTTGTTATTGTCGGTGTAGCATAATTTAGGATTGAGAGAAGTTAGGCTACGTTAGAATTAGGTTTTATTAGGGTTTGGCTTGTGATTGGGACCTATTTGGATTGGTGTTCGTGTAATTATTATCGGTCAGCGTGTGTCCTGACGCCTGGACGTCCTTCATTGTAAATCTTCACAGTGTGTTGTTATACTTTGAAGATCGAATTATAAACTGGTCTTCAAACTCGAACATCAGGGAGGTGTCGTGCTATGTGTCTTAGAATATCAAAGAATTCCACCAATTCTACAACTTGACGGCAACAGACAGAGCTGAAGTAGAATAAATTGTATTGTTTTACTGTGGTTAGAAATTATATACATATGGACTTACTTTAATTTACTATTATACTTTAAGATCAATGTCAAGAGACCTTACAAAATATAGAATCCAGAAAAGTTTCATCCCTTGTCTTATATTTTCTTTTGTGGGTCGATGAAGGCCGTAATATTAAGAGTGGTTTAGTGGGACACCTCACCGCCTGTAACGCCTGTTGTTTTATGTAGACAACCACGAACGAAAATGTGTATCCATGTGGGTCTTTTTTACTCGATATAAAACCAGAACTCTTGTCAACAAAACTAGAAAAAGCTAAGTCTATAACTCGGGTCAGATATGATTGAACGGAAGCTAAACACTGAACTGTATTTTATCAACGAAGCTTTCTTGAACTACATTTCTAAGGACGGAAAAACGGACGATCAAGATTAACACGACATGTCTTATCGAATCTGCGGAAAAAACACGAGAAAAAATGTACAATACTATATTAGGCGAGAAGCAAAATATAGTTCCCATTTCTCAATACTTGGATATATCATTCACTATATACTACGTTATAATCTATCTTGAATTGCATCTTGCCATTAAGAGTAAAATATTATTTATCATATTTTAATATTTGTGACAATATTGGATTATACGTGAAACATGGCAGAACAATAACCTCCCACAAGGAAATGAAAGAAATGGGACCTCTATTATAAGAAAATACCAGTGTCTGTAATAATCTCTGGTCATCTAGTACACACGTAAGACTTTCATGGAGATTAGGAACGTCACCTATACTAGTACAAGAGTTTAGTGAAAAATCATTGAGTGGTGTTGGCGGTGTTCCGGATGAGCGAGTTTGTGTACGTAAGTGTGTTTATCTCCACCGATCAATAACTGATTGTGAGTTCCTGGAGAAACCTGTGGAGGAGAACTTATCTAGGTAGGAATTTACAGTCAGAATTGGAGTGTACAAATTAATATCGATTTTAAAGTGGAACTAAGAAATTTTATCTTTTGATATTTTAATTTGAAGGGGAGGGAAACTGGACCATCAAACTGACGAAAAGAGCCGTGTACGGAGATTAAAAGATAAAGAGCTCTAGGAACACAGCAGTTTGATTATATGGTTAGAATGGGTTAGTGCCGTCCTCCACACTCTGGCACTGGTCACTCCGTATAGCTGTACCACCAAGCTGACCAACTCACAATTGTAAGACCAACAGAACTATTTCTCCTGCCTGAGTGTCGCCTGTCTTATTATCATCAACTGATCTGATGGTCGCCATGGTCCAGTGAGTTCCTCTTATTATGGTGGTAGTGATAAGGTATTTTATGGTGATTGTAGTTGTATTTTAAGTTATATAAGTTAATGGTACAAGATGATGCTGTTTCCTGCTTCTGATTCACACCTCTGGTCTGGCATTACTTGTGTCGGAGGTGTGAGAGGCTGGCTAGAAGAGGTAGATTCTTGGGTGTCCTAAGGTGAGGCCACAATCATAAGCTGTGTTACATAGCCAATCACTAAGGAAATCTTTACCAACAGTATATAACTATGAGCGAGAGCCGAGTCCAGTGAATTTAATTATATAGTTTATTTACTTTTGGGACGCAGCTCTTTGTAAAACAATACATTTTTCTTGCCCGGATAACGTTTAAACCTATATCCTGTGTGTGTGTGTGTGTGTGTGTGTGTGTGTGTGTGTGTTGGAATTGAATTATTCCTTGGTTGTCGACATTCACCTGGTGGATTATTCCTTGGTTGTCGACATACACCTGGTGGATTATTCTTTGGCTGTCGACATACACCTGGTGGATTATTCTTTGGTTGTCGACATGCACCTGGTGGATTATTCATGTTATAAGTCGGAAGAGTTATGGTTTGGTTAGGTACTGAGAAGCAAATTGATTTTAATAAATACTCCAAGACTTTAAGTTGTTATTTAATGATCAAGGTGCGTGGTGTAAACAAAAACGTAGTAGACTGATTTATAGATAGTTTATACAGTTATGTAGTTTAATGGGCGGTAAAGTTTCTTTGAGAGAATTAAGAGGGAGTTATTACAGTAATAACACGCTTCACTAAACTAATTCTATAATATTACGAATAAAAAAATATGTAATTTATCTTAAAGTTTATTTAATTTTTTCTTTCGATTTCCCTCTCTTGCGGGATGAGATTATTGCAATCGACGTGTGTGTGTGTGTGTGTGTGTGTGTGTGTGTGTGTGTGTGTGTGTGTGTGTGTGTGTGTGTGTGTGTCCAATAAAAAAAAATCCTCATGTATCAACCTAACTGTTTTTGCCAATTTTCTCTCAGTTTGTGGACTTAAGAGGTCATATTTTAACCCAATTTTATGTTTAAGTAATACTGTGACTTTTCTTGTGTATCGTCTTCATGGTGAGCAGAACTTGAAACACTAAGGCAATGGCGTAAATACTAAGGCGACAAGGAGAGAGTAGCAGAGCCTTATGAGACGTACTACAAGGAAGATGGTTGGGAGGTGATAGTGGCGCTACAGTGAAGGTGGTGGGGTGTGGCTGCTAAGTGTACGTTCAGCTAGTGGAACGGGTCGCAATCGTCATGCCAGACACTATTGACTGCTTGTGTTGGCGAGGTTTCATGGTATGAGCTTCAGTAACAACACAGCTGGAGAATCACTCCTAATATTCTGTGCAGTGATGTTGATCAGGAATAAATCTTGAGTGTGTGAGTTTTATTTCAATCTTATCTATGTAAATCACAAACTCATCTCATTTACATACACAAATCAATTCATAATGTGGTGATTGATTATTGAAATGTTTAGATGGAAGGAATGATTGAAGGTTACATCAGCTCACACACTTGTTAATATGTTGTTGTGTGCAGTCAGCTGGATCCTTAGTGTCTGACTTGAGTATGTTCACTGCATCCTTCAACACGTTGCCAGGTAAACTTGGTTGATGGAAGTACGGTTGTGTTATTTACTTAAGAGGAATTAAGTCTTGCATAAATGTATTACTCTAGTTCATAATATTATGTGACAACAGTCACTGACTGCCGCACAGATCTACGGCTTAGCTAACTCAACGCAGCTAGGGTAGTTACTTTTGTATTAGAATAATTAATTTTAAGGTCAAGTAAAAAAAGTAGTAGTAGTAGTAGTAGTAGTAGCAGTAATGTAAAACTGGATGTTAGCGTATGTAAGGATATTAATAATAACACACATGATAACTTCCTAAATTCGTAGCCTCGGGGCACAAAAACTTATCCTATTATTGAAACTTATGAAACACGGTTCGCACATTCCTTAAATTGAATGGTTAAGTTAGGTTGGGGGGAGTATCAGTACAGGGGCCCACATAACCTGCCACTGGAGGGCGGGGAACGGGGAACATGTGGACTCAACATACATCAGGGTCACGGGTTCAGGAAGAGGCTCAGTATGTCAGGTCAGGATGTACAAAGATGTTAGGTCACAGAGGTCAGCAATATGAAACACCTGAGCACCACTTCAAGTCGTCAGTTGGCCAGGTATTGTAGCTTTATGGGCTATTGTGGTCACGTTTATTGTGGCAGGAATTTCATGACCGTCATTCATAAGTTAGAAATGGTAGGTAATTCACGTCAGATTGTATGATGTAGTTTTCCTTATGCTGTGTTGGATTTCCTTGGATATTTTTTCCCCCACACAAACACAAACACAGCTTATGACTAATGTATGTATTTCTCAACCTTTATTTATTAAGTGTATATAAACTTCATCATAAGAAAAATACCTTTATTCAAACAAACAAGAGACAGCTACAAATAAGACTTGTACACATGATGGCAATATTGAGTACACAAGATGATTAATGTTGTGACAAAAACAACCACGAGCCGAGAGAGAGAGAGAGAGAGAGAGAGAGAGAGAGAGAGAGAGAGAGAGAGAGAGAGAGAGAGAGAGAGAGAGAGAGAGAGAAGAAAATGGTTATACTGTGAGCGATGCTGGGGAGGGAGGGAGGAAGGGAGGGAGGGTGAGCGTGATGGAGGGGAACTTTACCATCATAATGACCGGGAGGGAGGGAGGGCTGGAGCATATAGTTACTTCTACCACCAAGAAGTGTACACTGTGGGTAACAGAAATAAATTGGGAAAGAGATTAACAGAGTGGATGTGCAGGTGCTGACAGCAGACCTCAACACAGGGATGGATATAATGTACAAGAAAGACACTAATATTATATAAATTACTCTAAAACTACGAGTATGTGTGTATGTATGTGTGTATATCATATATACATACATACAGACATACATGAACATATATTAATTTTTCCCTGTTATTACTAATACAGACTACTAAACCCATCATATATATTATACAGTGTTCTAACTATGGCATAAATCTATTGACTAGAATTACTATAATACACAACACTAAGTTACAATGGTGCCATAGTGGCCACCACAAGGGTCCACAAGACACAACACGACAGTCACTGTATCCTGGAGGCTGTGTGGACCTGTACCACATTATAAACTAAATGTGGTTAACACAGTGTATACAGTTAGTCATTATCACCAAACACACCTGTAAGTTGTCAGGTAACTCACGTCACTGACACACTGCTAATTAAGGTCCCATCACTCATATTAAGTTCCTATCATACACAAAATGGCCCTGGTGCTACACACCGAGCTCCTAACACACCTAGTTACAGTAACAGGTGTTGGTGTACGATATTTTCCGTGTCTTCTTCAACACCGTTAAGTGTTGAGTGTTTACTGTACAGCTTCAGATATTGAGACATGTTGTGTGACGTTAATATCATGTGAAACTTTAATGTTATGTACTCTGCGACAGCTTGAGGTGTATGAGTATGGTGGAGGGCTGCGGCAGAGTGAGAGGTGCCAAAGTACTGACGACTCCAAACATTACTGTATATGTTACTAATATTAGCTGTAATAAAGAAACAATGATGTTACTTTATCTGGAGTGTGTTTGTTCATACGATGTTGTGCTTCATTATGTTTTGTTTTGTTCTCAGTGTCATGAATATAAAGGGTTACAATGGACTATGGAATAATATAAAGTAGGTCAAACGTTTGTCACTGAATGTGACCTTTGTATCATTAACTTCTTGAGTTGAGGTCTCATCTGCTTCAGCCAGCACAAGCTTCGCTGGGGCTGATACATAGTTCTTATGTAGCTAACACAGGACTCATCACATACCATCAGCGAACTATCTTAATTATAGTAATTTGTTTTATGTAAGAAAGAGAATAAAAATGTTCTACATGTTACTAGTGTGCAGAGAAAATGTTGAGATAAATTCCAGCTGCAGAGAGAAAGACTGTTTCAAGCTGACAGCTTTACTTAACCCGGGGTAAGAGAGGAACATGACCGCCAACTTTAGCCTGCTACGTGTTCAACACAAGACATAATATATATATTTTCCGGGACGATAAAATCTTTTTGCGTTGTGTTATTTATAAAACTTTAAATGTAAGTAAGAGAAACTTGAGCCTCGGTAGAACACATGAAAGGTGTTAACAAGTAGTGTCTTCTGAGACGATTGTTTCATCTTGGCCACAACCCATGATATACTGATCAGGATAGTGTCCTCTGGTGCGTAATAAACATCACCATAATATGTCGTTACTATTCACTGATAATATCTCGACCATATTAACCTTATAAACCAGATGATAAGGACATATATGACCTACAATTGTTGACCCACTGTGGTTCACAAATACTGTAATAAGTCGCCATTACGACCACACAGATAACTTAGATGCAGCGGTTCTAGTTGATACTGTTAGACGCAGATTATTCCAGATATTTTAAGCAACGTTGAATGTTACGAGCCAGAGTGACGGGCTGATAAGAGGCACTATGAGGCCACTAAAGACTTCGTTGTCTGGTAACTGAAGGAAAAACTGTATCTTATCAACAGTCGTAAACTTGATGAACTTGGATCTTTAACTTTCAGCGCCAGTTGAGGTTGTTAACACGATAAAGAGATCACACTCTCATCTACACAACTTTGACCTTCACTAAACCACAACTACAGTGTTCTAGTTATAGTAGACATATTGGCATGAGATATATTGAGTGTTTAGTGATGTGAAAGTTCCACTAAATTGATGTTATTTGAATGTAATTGTAATTTTCTTTCACTAACGTCGTTGTGAGAGCAATACTTGTTCGTTATTGTCAAAGGCAGCATAAACACGTTGGTGTATGTAAGGTTAAGTAATAAATTATTAAACTAACGTAATTAATAAGACAGCCTATCAATTACTGACGTATAATTTTTATGAAGAGAAAAATAATGTTGACATAACTTATAACGTCTTAAAGTTACAGATGGCGCCCTTCGTTTAATATGCAACTCACATCTCAAAGGGTGAGTACGGGCACTCCATTACGTCACTAGTTGCGTGTGTTGACTGTCACTCCAGGTGCGGGGAGGGTCAGTCCCCAACAGGAGGGCCACGGCCTCTGTCTCAGACATCGGTGACAGGAACGAGAACGTCTCCAGGTTGTTCTGGAACACTCCTGAGTCGGAGGAGTTACACAGCAGAGACACGAAGTCGGAATCTTGAGTTACGTAGACAGGAGGTTGTTGGGTCTTGTTTGGGCTTATGGGGTACTGCTCAGGTTGGGGTTCCTGTGGGCTAGGGGCCTCACCTAGGATGCTGGAGAGGACCCAGGAACAGGTGTCCTGGTGGGCGTTACCGTCCAGGATGTCTTGAAGGGACCTGATGTAGGCGGAGGCTAGTTTTAGTGTGGTGATCTTGGTCATGTCGGAGGCTGCTCGTCGACTACACACCCAGGAAGGCAACGCATCACGTAAGGTCTCGAAGGCTGTATTGATCTGCCGCATGCGGTACCTCTCTCGGGCATTGGCAGTCTTTCTGCGGTACCTGGAGAGCGGTGGCGGCTGTGGCTTGTGTCTCAGCGTGTCCTGGAGACTCCATTCACTGTCAGAGGGACGCCTCGCCTGCAGTGACCGAGGCCGCAGCTTGTACTTCCCTTCCGACGATCCCGCTGTGTGACACTTACTGCTCGTGTCTGCGGTTCCTTCAACACTACAGCGGGTCATTGTTGTTGTTGTTATTATTACTATTATTATTACTACTATTACTACTTTTGTTATTGTTAATGGTATTATTGTCCACCAGGTCCTTTATTACATCTTCTACACTTAAAAGTTTTTCCATTTTGATCCACTCTAAGTTTGCCATCATTTTCTTTACAATTGTTACACATCACTATCGTTCATTTCGTGGCGTTGTTACCATGTCGAGATATAACATTCGTTTAAATCACGCCATCTGAAAATGAAGAAGGACATCATCATCTAAGAGTAGCTGCACCTGCTGTGATAAAAAAAAATGACTTCCAATTTATACTCACAAAGATAACACGAAACACTATGAAGTAATTCTTGTTTAAACATTCTATAATTGACAAAACTATGATCTGTTTCAAGGTAATAATCCCAGGGAAGAACAGACATGCAGGAACCAGGTCCTGCCGAGGAGAGGATCTCACCTGAGGGTCGTGTGAGTGAGTGTGGCCGGGGAGCCAGAGAGTGAGAGAGAGATTGAGAGCGGAGCAGCACCGTGGTCTCTCCTCCAATGTTGGCAGCTCACTGACCCATCCCACCCTGTCGCTCCCTCACCTCGACCAAACCATTATTTTACACATTTTGTCTTTTAACTTTCTCTAAGAGAAAATTTTTAACTTATATTAAGCTAAAGGAATAATTTAACACCAGGGGAAGTTATCACAAGTGGTGGTGAGGCTGCTGAGGCACTTTACAGGCAGATATAAAGGGTGTGTGATAACAGCTTTGGCCGGGCATGTGGCGGCATTTCGGCCTTGAGTGTTTTGCAGTTCCCGCGATGAAAGCTACTCTCAGGTGTTGCCCAAGTCTTACAGTACACCAAATGTACAGTGTAGTGAAGCCAGTGTTTGAAATACCACAAATATACAATACATCACTGATATACGCACATAGCCTCAGTTACAAATATGCCCGTATACGTTTTTGCCCATATATGGTAAAGCTAAGGCTGAGAAATACACAGATTATAGAGGTTTAAACACTGCTGGTTTAGTGTATGTTAGGAATACACCATATACACTGTCCTATACGCGTCTTTTAGCCTAGGTTAAAAGTACAACAGTTGTATCAATTTAAACGTTTGTTGCGCTGTCTGTTAATGTACGAAATATACAGTTACGGTCTTGTATATAATAAGAAAATATTAGTATTCTTGGCGCACTCGTTCTATATAGTAAGGGCAGGTGTGTCTCTGGGAGGTCTGATAAGAAATACTATTACTGGACACACAACATTAACCTTTGTGAAGAATGAGATTTAATCTGTAAAGTGTCTATGTGATGTATGTGTGTGTGTGTATGTGTGTGTGTGTGTGTGTGTGTGTGTGTGTGTGTGTGTGTGTGTGTGTGTGTGTGTGTGTGTGTGTGTGTGTGTGTGTGTGTGTGTGCGTGTGTGTGTGTGCCCTTCTCACATAGCATGGTTTATCTCAATAATTTCCCTTCCTTTTCCGTAAGTTTCTGAAAGACGTGACCCCTGTCTAGTGTTCTCTTGAAACAAGATACATATATCAAGAAGGTATGAGGTGTCGTCTTTGATTTTCATGTTCATTCCACAAAAAACTAAATTTTGTTTCTCTCAATAGTAAAAAAAAGTGAGACCACATCTTAAAGGTCTTAGTTTACGTGTAACAAATCAAGATAATGTTCTCTTGGTGATGATTAGTCTAGCGGTCAGCAACACAGTGCTTCATAATCATCGGTGCTTTGATGTAACTCAATAATGCTAGTTACACGGTACTGTCCATTGTGTGTTTTTGGTGTCATAACCAGGTTGAAATATTGCACCTCGATGCACAATTACTATCACTAAAACACAAGGGAATGGATCACTAAATTTCCTAAGTTGCTTTTATACATTTCAGTGCGCAATTACTATCAATAAAAATCTCAACTTTGTATCAATAAATTTACCGATATCCAGAATATCTTTATAAGATTGTAGTCTTGAGAAGGGTCTGAGGAAGCAGGATTAAGATCACACAGATACCGTCAACACGTTCCTTGATTATAATATTTGCAGGTGCGTCAAATTTTCCCTCGTGTGGCTACAACGTGATGTTCCGAGAGCTGCTCAACTGACACACTGATCATGTCTCATAAATACACTAATATATTATCAGCTAAACAACCACCAAGGAATTTTATAGACATTTACTTGTTACACTTATAGTCTTACCAAGTGACTTAGTAGTAGAGTCAAAATTGTTAGCGTTCATGTTGTTTCTCTGTACTGTACTGTGAAGGTGAGAGAGGAAGGCGACTCTGCTCTCAGGACGAGGCCAGACGGGTGATGGGTGAAGTCGAGGGTCACAAAATTTAAAGGAAAACAAATATTATAGGCGTCTTGTTTTACTATATCGATTCATGGTGAAGAAATTTTGAGGTCAGGGGGAAACTCTTTAGTCAATCATTAAGATGCGAAGTATTAATCGGCTCGCATAAACACGTGGTCAAATTTTAGAAGGATGTCAATGTGTTTTAGCACGAAGACAGTAAAGAGAAGTGTACTGTACCTTTCGTCAACCGTCGACACATATACGACGATACTGCTGATTTCACCTTCCACGATATATAATATTTGCTATATATAACTTGAAATATTATTAAAATATCTCAGACATTTTATTACCACTCAAACATTGGAAGGTACAAATAAATATTTTTATTCGTATATTTAAAGGGAAAACAATATACTCAACAGACTAGCTTATCCCATGATCACGTCTGGCTTCTTGATAAACCAGCATATAAAGATATCAATTATTTCTTAATGAAAAAAAAGAAGAAAATATTGAATTAATTATATTCAGTACGAGAGACAAGTTAATATTAAACAAGTAAACACAACCACCTCGACAGAGAGATAAAGTCAAGGCTAACACAAAATAAGAAAAACAAAGAGATATCAAGAATTTAATCTATTTATTATAAACAACATAAAACGCGTCAGTCGTAAGTAAGAACAAGTGATGATGACCATAAGAAGTAAATGAAATAAATAAACTTGTAACAATACAGAATAGAAGTAATAAAAATAAACAGTGAAATAAATGAAAAAAAAATCATCACAAACCGGACTTGAAGATTATATTGGGCGAGTTCAACACGACCTGTACCGAGTGAGAGTAGGGCCGGAGGATGGTTAGGTAGGAGGGTGGCAGGATAGGAGGATGGCATGATGGGAGGATGGTATGATGGGAGGATGGTATGATTGGAGGATGGCATGATGGGAGGATGGTATGATTGGAAGATGGTATGATTGGAGGATGGCATGCTTGGAGGATGGGAGGATGGTATGATTGGAGGATGGCAAGATGGGAGGATGGCATGATTGGAGTATGACATGATGTAAGGATGGTGGGATGGGAGGATGGGAAGATGGCTTGATGGGAGGATGGCATGATGGGATGATGAGAGGAAGACATGATGGCGAGATGGCAGGATGGCATAATGGCAGGATGGCATAGTGGCAGGATGGCGAGATGGGAGGATGGGAGGAATGACATGATGGTAGTATGGCGAGATGGGAGCATGGCATGGTGGGAGGACATCAGGACGATGGATGGTAGGATGGTAGGAATGTGATAGGATGAAAGAGCAGGAGGATGGTAGGGTGGGAGTAATGGTACTTGCCACCTGCCTGGTCAGGAAACGGGTAATTCAAGAAACAGAGAAGAAACTGACCGAAATAACCAAGCAAAAAGAAACCAGGGAAATTTCTAACACCATAAAAAACACCACTCAGTCGACCATCGTGCCTTACAGCTAAAAAGACGCTCTAAAAGAAACTTAAACTCAACAATGTCAGCGAGACCAGGGAAGTCCTGCAATAGACAGCTTGCCAGTATCTGCGGGTGGACGCAAGAGCTGAGAGGCCGGTACCAAGAGCTACAGACAGACATCCAGCACGAGAGCAAACGTCTACATGAACAAACGTGGGCCGCCTTGGTGTGGGAGGCAGCCAACAATTACTGCGATTCTGCTGCATTCTGGAAAGGGATCAAGCGACTGATGGGTTCCTCCTCTAGCACGGTCCCTTAACTTGCTCGACCAAAACAACGTGAAAATATTCGAGGACAACAAAGAACAATTACATCAGCGATATGTACGGAAGATCTTTACAATTAGTGAACAGGAGAACGAGGGCTTCGACAAGGAGTTTGAGAAGGACAGTTTAGGTCAGTTGCAGGACCATCAGCACCTGCTCCAGCCGCTCCCACGACTGACTTCACTAGACTGGTGGACGAAAGCTACCTGACGGAGCGCATAGTTCCTGCAGATGTGTCAGCCGTCATAAAAGGGTTTAAAAACAAATCACCTGGACAAAGCCATATAAACAAGAAGATCCTGGCCCAACTCTCCGACAACATGATAGAGAGGTTTGCTCATATATGCAACGCCTGCCTCGCCTCTGGATACTTCCCTAAGATGATCAAAATCGTCGTTACCAAAAGCAAAGTCGAAAACTTTCGACCAATATCGCTGCTAGAGGTACCTGCCTCGAAAAAATAGTGAACAAGTGGTTGCGGATGTATCGAGAGGACAAAGACGTGCATAATCCCCGCCAGTTCGGCTTCCGTCAGTACCGAGGCACATCCATCACCATAGCCCAGGCCTACGAGCAGATCGTCAACGTCATGACTGGCTGCCTGCAGTGCAACGTAGTACTGAGGGACGTCAGCAAGGCATTTGACAAAGTTTGGCACGCGGGGCTGCAGTATAAGATCATACAACTGGGGCTCCCCGAAAACCTGACGCGCCTGCTGTGCAACTTCATTAAGGAACGCAGAGCCAAAATCGAGATGCAAGAACACTGTGGAGAAGAATTCTTACTCTCGAGCGGCGTGCCTCAGGGCTCTTGTCTCTCACCAACCCTTTACATGCTCTCCACGGCTGACCTGCCACCCACAATCGCCGGCAGCGAGTACGTCATGTATGCCGACGATGTAACACAGATCGTCACCTGCCCAGGAAGGTCCACGGGAAGATGGCGCGACTCACTGCTCGGGCACTAGAGGATATCTCGGAGTATGAAAATATATGGAAAATTAAAACAAACAAAATGAAATTCGAGGTCATAGCCAAATTCAAGCCGGCGCCATTGATGATCGACAACGAAGAGATTGAGTACTCTAAACAAGGCAGGCTGCTCGGCCTCATCATCTCTCGGACGGGCATCGTTTCCCATGAGAAGAACAGACTAAAGAAAGCTAAAGTCGCCGCCGCCAAATTAAAACGTTTTAAACTGATGCCTGAGAAGATACAAGTCCACCTGTACAAGGCGCTGGTGAGGCCTGTGTTAGAGTACCCATACATACCACTCGTCACACTCGGGAAGACTAGACTACAACAACTACAGAGCTTCCAAAATAAGTGTCTGAGGTCAGCCAGTGGCCAAGCGCCACCCTACCAGGAGTCAGTGGAAACCATCCACCTGAGAAATAAAACAGAGGCCCTCAACGTCAGGTTCCATCGCCTAGGGAAGAAGGTTTTGATAAGCTCCTGGACGACCCTCACAGCCCAGAC